GTTAGCCCAACATGCTGAATTCACTAGGAACGAACCTACCCTCGTTTTATCGAGGGAAGCTTGTTGAGCTCAACCTGCCAACCTGTGTTAGCGCAAAGAAAGAGATTGTTAGTAATGTGGACTCATAATCCTATTACTGGCAATGTACCATGTCAGCTTAACCGCCACGAGTTTCCCCTGGAAACCATCGTAATAAATTCCTGCTAAATTTGTCAAGATAGGCCAACCGACTTGACCTCATGTTCATCTTATCATCCTCCACTGGAGGCCCGCCAGCGTAAACCGTTAGCGCAGGCGGGTGCACTATTCCATTATCATCCGAAAAAAATCTTGTGTTAATAATAAAGAGGTTAGTCCACATTAACTTTTGCCCTACACAAATTGTTATGAAAGATCGCTATTTAGCGATAAGGCCGCCCATAGTTACCTCTCTATTGTAATTGTTGTTTTTTTTTTATATTTGGTGTACATATTAATTTATGTAATTGTTAATTATTTCTGTGAGAGGAACACTAAAGATTTTTCATTCATTCATCACATTAGATAAAGTAACATTTTTAAATGTTATGTAGGTACCTACGAAAAGTCCACAAAATGGCCGCCACTCGTCTCGCAGTTTCGGCGGAACCAGGAAGTTATAAACCATCCGGAGCGTTCGATAAGCCCTAATGTCGCGTCGCGGCGACCTGTTAATGTCACCGTATTATGCAAATTTTAATATAAGTACGCACCGATATACTTGTATAATTCAAAAATCATTTATTCATGTAGGACATTTTAGTCGCGGAACGTGATTTTTTTTATATTATAATTTTTCCCTACCATCCAGCTATAACAATAGTATCTATATATACCTGACACGATAATTCACATAGCGCCATGCTAAGCAGAACTTGTGTTATGGGTACTAGAGAATTGATATAAATACATACATATTATATATAGAAAATCCCCAAAACCGATACAAACAATCATATTCATGAATTCAGATTATCGTGCCGTGTGTGGAATCGAACCTGAAACCATTGTAAGTAAGTCCATGTATTAAATCTCTAAAACACAGAGCTCGACTGATTTAATTCAACATAAAATTTCGAGTAAAAAAACAAAATTAATTTAAAAAGTTTAAATTTACTATATTTATGCTCAATACTTTATAAAAATAAAATCAGTATCGAACAAATTGGAGCGGGTAAGTCTTTCCAAATATTTGTTGCAGTATACTTTATTATATTAAGTATATTCCCTAGTTTTTGCATCTTATATTTGTTTGCACTATATGTATTTTTTTAGGACCCACTAGGGTCGCAGAAAATTCTGCTACTTGTATAGATAATGTTTTCTGTAATTGTGAAGTAAAGGTGAAAATGAATTTCGACTGTCTTGGATCTGATCATTATGGACAAAAAATTATAATTAAAAATAAGGGATCCAAAGAGTTGAGTCTCTTTGGATCCCTTATTTTTAATTACATACAGACAAATAACACAAAAGAATTTGGCATGTTTTAAAAATAAAATTGAACATAAAATATCTAGTGTCGTAGTACCTCACTATGACCCGGACATTGTATGTGAACATATTTTTAATTTAATTGAGCAAGAAGCTAGCAATGAATTCAAAATAAAAAACATTTTCAACTAGTGTAAAATCAAAGTTTTGTGACTGGGCCACATTTGGTATTTATAAGTCTAGGGCTAATCTTTACGAATTTTACGAAAAACGATGCTATGTATCCGATCCCATATTTCATGAATATGTTTCGAAAATATTTAAAAAGGTTTGTCAGACAGCTGTCTCTCTATTTAGGTAAAATAATAACTAAATCTAAAAATAAAATAAAAGCCACTTGGAAAGTAATAAATAGTGAAACTGGAAAAGTTAATGTTCAAAATAGCAATATAGCTTTCAATATTAATAACAAATTGGTAAATTCCGACACAGAGGTCGCGGATATATTCGAATCTTATTTTACTAATATTCCATTAAATACGGCACAGGCTCTAAAATCTTCCCCGTCTGCTGCTGAAACTTTACTAACAGACAATGTTAGCAAGTCATCAGTTGTATTTAACTTTAGACACACAACATCAGTAGAAATAATGAAAATATTTAAACAGTTTAATAATAAAAAAAAACAGATATTTTTATTATTATTTTGAGGTATATCTGTTAAAATACTGGATAGAATGGAAATTATTGCGCCGTCTCTTGCTCTTATTTTCAATAAAGGTATAGATGAAGGTAAATTTCCTAACATAATGAAAATTAGTAAAATACCGCTTTTTAATTTTTAAATCTGGAGATAGGAGTGACCCAATAAATTATAAACCTATATCTATACTTCCAGCACTCAATAAAATTTTATAAAAAATAATCCTTATGCAACTTGTCAGTTATTTCAAGTTAAATTATTTAATCCACAACAGTCAATTCGGTTTTTCCAAAGGTCGTTCAACTACAGACGCAGGTGCAGAGTTGCTCAGACTCGTATGTGCTGCATGGGAAACTAAAATGGTTTCGATAGGTGCCTTTTGTGACCTTTCTAAGGATTTTGATTGCGTCGATCATAACACATTGCTAAAAGAACTTGATTTTTATGGCGTCAAAGACAATGCTTTAAATTTAATAAAATCTTATCTATCTGATAGAATACAGAAAGTAAAGGTTAGCAACGCTACGTCTGACGGGTCACTTGTGCAAATGGGTGTACCTCAAGGATCTATTCTCGGTTCATTTTTATTCCTAGATTACATTAATGATCTCCCATATGCCATGCAGGATAGATGCGGCATAGTGTTATTTGCAGATAATACTTCATTGATTTTTAAAGTCAATAGAATGACTAATAATTATGATGATGTAAATAATGCTTTGCGGCGTCTTCTGCACTGGTTTACAACTAACAATCTTATGTTAAACGCTATATGTTATATTTTCTCTGTCTAAAAGTTTTAATACTAATTACAACATAAAATTAAATGACGAATCTCTCGAATTTATAGAATCTACTGTCTTTCTAGTTGTCACACTAGATAATAAAACACAATGGGGTGCTCAAATTCAAAGCCTTGTAGCGAAACTAATATCAGCAGCTTTTGCCGTGCGTATAGATAGACAGACTTACTGATATTGCTAGATTAGTCTATTTTAGTTATTTTCATAGTTTATTCTCTTATGGAATATTATTATGAGGAAAAGCGGCAGATATTAAAAATATATTCATATTACAAAAACGTGCCATTCGAGTGATCATGAATCATTAAGAGAGAAATTCAAAGAGGCAAATATTCTCACCGTTGCTTCTCAATTTATATATTCAAATATCCTATATGTTCATAAAAATCATGACTTATTTCCAAAAAACAGCAATATTCATAATATTAATACTAGATTTAAAGACAAACTTGCTGTCCCCAAATATTGTTTAGAAAAAGTAAAAGAAAAAGACCTATTAGTCTTTTATGGGAATAGGTATAAAAAATTATAATAAGATACCAAAGGATATGTTAGAATTACCCTTAAATAAATTCAAAACATCTGTTAAATCATATTTACTGAGCAAAGCCTATTACTCACTAAACGATTACTTAAATGACGAGTGTGCATGGCAATAGTTCTTCATGCATTGAATTTTCATTTAATGTTAGACATAGACACCTATATAAATATACATTGTAAATAAACTGCCTTTAAAAAAAAGTAATTCAATTGAGTTTCTTGCCAGTTCTTCTCAATTGGATCTATATACCGAGCTGGACGGTAAGGAAAAAATTAAAATTAGAATGTAAAAATTCGACGTTCATAAGCGGCTAAAATGATTAAATGATTAAATCTACATGAATAAATGATTTTTGAATTTGAATTTGAATTAAAATTCTTAAAACTGATGAACTTTGTCCCTAAGGTAGTCTATGTTATTTTGTAAAAATCAGTTTTTATATATAAATAAATATCGAGAGGATATTCTGATGCAATGCAATAAATAAGCATTAGTTAAAACTGCATGTAAATTTAATATCATTTCTGACTAAATATGGCGTAATATAATAGTAATAATAATAAGAATAATAAAGACATTTATTCAGCATTACAGTATTCTTAGGTGCTATCTATCTTATATACTATACAATTTAAAAGCTAAAAGCTAAAACATACTAGTAACGCTGAATGTGACTCCCACTCAGCATTTATACTGCAATATATATACCACAGCATTTTCAGTTAAAGACTAAAGAAAATAAAACGTTAAAATTAAGACCATTTTATAATTTAATGTATCATTTTAATTAATGATGTATTTAGTATATTCTGTAATTATATGGCGTAATATATTTATTATAATAAAATTTATTAATAATATTTAAATATATAACTCTTGGTGCATTGTAACAAAATGTCATTCTGTGCATATTGCTTAATTTTGACAGTTTTTGCAAATAAACGTGTTCTTATTGTTTTGTTAAATCATATTGTTCGGCTGTATGGGCATAAACTCTTTGCCTTACCTATAAGGATAAAATAAATTTAAAAAAATAGCCATATTTCTGCTATGGTACACTGAGGTATTTAGCAAGTAATCACTACGCTTTAAATGTCACTAATATGATATATTCTGTAATAGAAAAGGAATGGGGAATCAAAAACACGGAATTACAGGTATAGCTATTTTTTATTAATCATATCGTTTAATACAATTAATTATGTCGGCGGAGTATAATATAAATAATATAGGTCCTAAAATTGACCCTGGGGAACCCCTTACGGGGGAAGCCGATGATGTTACTGGTAAACCTACTACACTACGCAGCTCTATCAAAACCTGTCATAAAAAAAATAATAAGGAAATATTTTTAATAAAATAAAAAATTACATATCAATTAACTTTTCCTGCGCTCAAAAGGACTTGTATCAGGAGCCATGAAACGTTATAAATAAAAAAAATCGCCGGACCAAACACGCCATTGGCATTTTGTCTTTTTTCGGAATTCTATCTGATCTGTAGAACTTTTATTTTTCGTATATTTTATAATAACATGTATGTAAGTACAAGTTTATTCACTTTCTGTTAGAAAATCTATGTGTGTTCTATTGTTTTTAGCTTTTCCTGACTTTAACGACTTCACCTTGACTGCCACCGATGAAAGTCGTAGTTAACTCAACGTTTCATATTAATTTGTTAAATGTAAAAACAATTCAACATAACTGAGTAATCATATAAAAATGAGATAGATCTCATCGCTTTTCTAACTTGTTTACTTTAAATATTGAAATTAGCCATCGATTTCGAAAATCGTGTTCTTTACTACATTCACTAAATATCGAATACTCAAACGAGTCTCGTTTGAGTATTGGACAAGACAAGAAAGCTCTGGACCAGCTAGAGGTGTAACACAGTGAACAAAACAACAATATAGAACTACAGAAAGAACAATCTCCCGCGTACTAGTATATTTGTAAACTCAAAAAAATGCCACGGAAGCCGTGCTACTGGACTCGAAAATTAGAATTAGATTTAGTGGAGTTCGTACGGCAGAGAGATTTTATATGGAAACCGATTGGCAACACCAATCATCACATTCAACAGAAGTACAAGGCGTACGCGGAGTTTGCCGCCAAATTGGGCCGTGGTTTTACAGGTTAGTAATTTTGTTTGTGATTATTACTTCCACAATAAAATAGCTTATAATTTGAGATGTGCTTCGGATGAAGGGTGAGAAAATACTGTGATTTTACAGATTATACAGGCCTGACATAGAATAGAATAGAAAATCCTTTATTCAAATAAACTTAATTTAAGCACTTTGAATGGTCATAATTTTTAATCTACAGCTTATTCGGAAATCTGTCACATCACAAGAAGAATGACCAAGAAACTTGCATGTTACTCTTGTATATATTTGTTGTAACTTTATATTTTTAAATCAACATGTGAATGTTAACTACCAACTAGCACTAATATCCTGAATTGCAATGCACAAGACATATAGTGCTCTGAAATGTCAATGCAAGAGACTAATGAGTATCATGTGGTATTTTTGGTGTATGTGTCGTATTAATATTTATATGTATGTAGTAAAAAACCGTTATTTCAATATTATAAATAGACACTCCAATTTTATTTATATGTATAGATTTGTAACAGATGGGCCATCCACTTGTTTGCTTTCTTATAACATAAAGAAATGTGTTACATGAAGGAATATTTAAAAAAAAACAACATATCCAAAAGGTTGTCTAGTAGAGAATGCCATTTAGCATTAATCTCGCCTCTTGTACACTCTTTATAGTGCAATAAAGAATAAAATAAATAAGCAAGTTTAAAAAAATTATAGCTGTAAAAATACTTCTTCAAATAAATAAAATGCTTTGCATTTTAGCTCGTTCAGTTAGAGATCGCTGGGTGAATATAAGAAGCACCTTCAATCATAACCTCCGAAGAGTGGACAAGTCTAGAGAGACTGCCCAAAATGTAGCTGATATCTATGTCCCGTGCTGGCCATTGTGGAAACCTTTGCAGTTTCTTCGTGAGGTGCCAAGGAAAGAAGAATCTGGGAATTATCAAGTATGGTCTTTGTTACTAAAAATAGGACAAAATATTTAGATAAATTAGAATTTTATTTTATACTAGCTGTTCCCTGACTTTGTCCGAGTGGAATTTCTTTTTTTTCTACAAGTAATTTTCTGTAACAAAAGTAGCCTAAGTTAGTCCTTATTACATAAGCTACCTCCCAAAAAAGTCCCGTTAAAATCGGTCCAGCCATTTCAGAGATTAGCTGGAACAAAATTGTAAAAAGTGGTTTTTTTTGATGTATGTACCATATTTATATTCATATGCATGTAGTAAAAAATGGTTAATAATATGTATTACAAATAGACTCCAATTTTATTTATATGTATACAGACATAGGTTCTACAATATACAATACCAAATATTTGGACAATATTCTATATTATTTAGAGAATATTTTTTATAGGTGTAGAGAGAACAATAATTTAATAACTATAAATTTTTATTATTAATAATAATTCTGAATTATTTTAATAATATAAAAAAATACACCCATGGATAATTCACTCAACGCCATCTAGTTGCAAGCTAAGCTTGTGATACTAGTACTAGAGAACTGATAAAGAAATTAAATACACATTTTTTTTTTTAATACTAAATTAATCAATATGTACAATCATACTGATGAATACAAATGTTTGCACTATGGTCATCAGAAGTATAATAGTGAGCTAAACTGCTAGACCAATAAGGCAGCCTATTGTAGTTATGGTACTTTTGAATTGCTTTTTATTTTTTTATGTTTTCCATAAACTACTAAAATAGAAGTTAAAGTCATGTATAGGTAAAGAACTTGTTTAGTAATATCTGATTCAGTTGAAGAGTGAGATAAGATAGTAAACTTAAACTCATAGATCAGACAGACATATTCATACTCAAGAATAGCAATAGTAGTAATGGTAATGAGTATCATGTGTTTCAGATTATTACATGTTGTTTGTGGTAGGTTGTTTCATGGTTCTCACTTACCATCATATGGACCAATAGTCCAGTTACATATTAAAGTATACTTTTATATCAATTCTAATAATATACTTCCTTAATTCCAGGCCAACACATCACTTCTCAATTTCAATACCATAGATGTGAAAGAAGAGTTGCAATCAGACTTTGATGATGGTGGAATACTTAAAATTCGGCAGAGAGGCCAAAGAACTAACAGACCTAGGCATGTACCATCAAAAAACAAAAAAGTTAACAAAAATAATAAATGCAAACAGTTCATAGATGATTTAGTAAGGACTATGGAACCACTGAACAATGAGAATGAACATCAATTTCAAAGTTACTTCTTCTTCGGTAAGCATATTACGGAGAGACTGAATTCTATGAGGGACATTGATGCGGAGTGTGCTGCTCGTGAGATTATAAATCTTTTGGATACTTGGCCTACACATGAAGAAACTTGAAATTCAAGTTTATAATGAAGACAGACGAAGACCATTCAAAATGGATTTGGACAAACAATGCAAAATAAATAAATGGAGTAAACTCTTTGCTATTCTAGAGACAGTCCAGAAGACTGGGCCGGCAAAGAACACAGAAAGACAACATCATAACTCTGGGACCTCTTTAGAATAGGATTGCGGAAGAACTGAAAGAGGGCTATGCCAAAAGGCACATCAAGTTTCATAATACAGAAATACATATGTATCTAAAAATGGCAACTGTCGAAGAAGATATAAAGAAAGTCTGTGCAAGATAAAAACATATCATATAAGAACCAGTTAGCTTTGAATCTACTGGATACAAACAACTGTCCATCTAGACTAAAAAGGGCTCGCCTAGCCAGCACCTGTAACAAATAAATGAGAGGGTATACTGTACCAATAGAGGATATGATGGTAATATGTATGGGCTGATGCGGGTATCATCTTCGCATAGTGTCTATCTAAGTCAGTAAGAATTGTGTCTGTGTTGGATTTTCTCTTGGGTTGTGGGAAGATTCCGGTGGTCTTGTTTTTGGGCCTATTGTTCGGCATGTTTTGACCTTTCTTCTGCTGCTGTTTTGGGAGTACACTCTGTAGTATCAACGCTTTGCTCATTAGGCATGCTAATTGTGATCTGAGTAGCCATTATGGCGTCTCACGTTTTCATCGAAATAAATTGAGAGGGTAACGAGATGGCCTTCATCATGTAGTGCCCATAACACCTTAGAATCTGATTTAGCTGGAAAGGCTGATTGAAAAGAAAAAAAAAACTAGCTATGCTATGTTATTCATACATAGAGCATAAAGGTGCAGTCTTGTCATAATAATTTGTGACTCAAAACTCTCAATGTAGTTCTTCTGAGAACTAATTTGTTCACTCCTGACTCAAGTCAGAGAAGAGCCATTTGCTGGCCATTATTTATGTTTTTTGTTGCAAAAATAGTCATGTTTTATAGTCCTCAAGTAAAGTAGATTCTGTATTTGTTTCGCTATATCATCTGTCATTTATTTTAGCAATGTTATAGATTTGAATGAAGAGCATAAAGAAGCAGTCTTGTCATAATAATTTGTGACTCTCAATTTAGTTCTTCTGAGAACTAGTTTGTTCACTCCTGACTTGAGTCAGAGAAGAGCCATTAGTGATACATCATTTATGCTCTGAGTTTCTTGAATGCAATTATATTCTTTTCGCAGGTCTATGATATCACTTAATGTACTATGAATATAAGGTCCTCCTATTCATATATATATTGCGTGTTCGGGTGTGGTGTCATGATCTTTACAAAATAATAACACAGGATATTTTATCACGATTGTAATACGACAATACGGGACTACATCGTATATCTGACTGGGGAGGGACGTGTAGTAGGTGCGCTGTCCAACGCGATGTAATTTAATCTCTTGTATTAATAATATGTATGATTTTAGACTTTAGACTCAAGTGTAAAAGGTTATTTTTAGATTGGGGTGAAATTCATTTTCGTTAGTAATTTTAACATGTTATTGTTATTTCAGCAATATCTCTAGTAGGGTGTTACTTATTCCTAGGAATTTTTTCTTTCTTAAATTTCATGGGGCACCTCGTAATTTGATTATATGTCATGAAAAAGTGTTTCAGTATCTTTTTTGAACTTTTAATTGACATTTATAGGTCACTACTAAGGTTTGAAATCTATCTCAAATCACTATCTTAAATAAAAAAGCAAAATCTATATTTGTTAGATTATTTTACTAACATAAAAATATTACAAAATAATTGTTGCATAACTGCAATTAAGAGAATATGTGAATATTTGAATTATTTTTAAGACATAAGGGTGTTGTTAGTATTAGGGTACTTTTTCCTCTACTCTTAGCAACAAAGCAAATATTACTTTATTGGTTATAATTAATGTATTATATTCTTCCATTAAAGCAACACTATGCTCAGTTATATCGTTGACTACTCACAAAGGATGAACAATATTTTTGGCAGCTACATAATCAGAGTCTTCATTCTAAGTTTCAATGTCTTTTTCCAGGATATTTGATGATTTGAACGATTCTTAAGGAATTACTACTGACGAAGTTTTCTATATTTTTTTCATGTATATCTGTGATATCAAGGTTGATTCTTTTTAAAGATTTATTTGTGCCTTCAATTTTCAGAGCCAGATAAAAGGTAGGCTTTTATCTCTTCTCTTGAACTGAAAGTTCGCCATCATAAAAGGCAAGCGAAACTAGCTCCTCCGACAAATATCACAAATGATTTACTGTCTCTTTCAACGCAACAGTAGCTGTATTTTTGTTAAAGATTTCGAAGGCTGTAAGGTCTTTCAATAATTGTAAGTCGTTTCTTGGTGGTGACCAACCGCTAGAGGCTTGAGACCAATATTTAACATAAATCATCAGTAATCATCACCGTCAAAATGCTACCTCTCACAGCCTTTTTGTCCTTCTTCATTAGCTTGAATAGATAACATTTTCAAACAGTACAAGGCTCTTGCCATCCATCTAGCTCGATGTAGACCAGCAGGTCTCCTATATGAAACACCTTTTTCAGGAACACAAAACTTTATCGATGGATGACAATGTTGATTGGCTTAATTCGGATAATAATTGACATTAAAATTAATTGTTCTTGTTATTGAATCTCTTCAGAAATGATGTTGGTAGTCTATTGAGAAAAGTTAGTTATTACAACTTTGCAATTTATTAATTCAATTTCACAGTCATTGATGACTACAGATTGTTTTTAAGAGTTGTAATGTGTTTTCGTTGATTAGATCATTGATGGTAGATAAAACTGTAATATTGGAATCGGTCAATATAATAACATGGATACTGAAAGTCAGTATAAAAAATATTTATTTTATGTCAAAGGGGTATTCAGGTTAGCGGTTCTTGTTTTAATGTAATCTTCAATTCTGTATAGTAGCAACTCTTCAAGAACTTCCAGATTTATATTGCTACTAAATTTTCCTAAAAATTGCTACAAGAATAAATAATGTGTTTTTATTTTATATGTAGAACTGCAATATACACAGCAACATCTAGTCTCAAATTGCTAGTTATTTTTGCTCATATGTATATAAATAATAAATTAAACTTTTGGTACTTGGCAACTTATAGAAATACCGTAAAACTTATATATAATATATTCTTCAAAAAAGGCTAAGGTTGTTTTTTTCAAAATTTCTTTGTGTCTTGGTTTGTTGAAGCAAATGAGTTGATTTGAGTTATTTAATATCATATAGTTGGTCTGTATGTAAAATATTGTATGTCAGATAAATATATAAGATAAGCCAAATTATTGTTTGAACAGTTCAGCTCTTCATCAGGGCAAGCTTACTTTTTCCACACTCCTTTTAAATTGTTGATGTAGAACTTTCATCTTTTTTTAGTAAACCATTCTTCAAAAAGCTGGTTTGATTTGTGTAACTGTTTCACTTCAGAAAAATGCTTAGTATCTTCAAAAAGAAAGGAGCTCTTGACGTAATTTTTGAGAGCTCGAGGATTTTCAGACCTATAAACTAAAAGGGGTTTCAATTTAAGATCACCTTGTGTCAAACGATCTTTAGCCGCTTTAAATCCAGGCATAGACTTTTCTTCCTGTGATATAAAAGTACGAGAGGGCATTTTTTTCCAAAACAAACCAGTTTCGTCCACGTTAAAAATTTGTTTAGGCGAATAGTCTCCACTTTCGATAATTTCCTTTAATATTCCAGGATCTACTGATCGGCTTTTGCACTCGTGTTATGTAACGAATATCTCGTTTTAAAGCGCATGAACCATCCGCGACTGGCAGAAAAACATTTTGTTTCGTCACTATTATTCTCGCCACGTTTATTTTGCAGTGTGTTGATGATACTCAGCGCCTTATTTTGTATAATAGCCAAACTTAGAGGAACCCGTCGCTGAGTTTGATCTTGAATCCAATTGTACAACAGTTTTTCCATTTCATAAATTAAAGCATTCCTTTTGCGTATAATAGTGCTGTTTGAAGAGACGGAAGGAAGAGCTGTTAAGAGTTTTTCTTTATCTTTCAATATTGTTTGTACCGTCGTGCGTGATAAATTAAGTTCTCGTCCAATAGATGAAGTCGAATAACCGCGATCTTTGAGTTTTAAAATCTTAGATTTAACCTCCATTGTAATTGACTTTCTTACTCTCTTCTTCACTTTATTATTACTGTCTTGTTTAGGTGGCATTGTTTAAAATTCACTTAAATATGTATGTAAACACAAAAACTGTCAAAGATGCAAAAAAACTAATTTATTACGTCTTGATTGTCCGTTGTCCCTGAATGTACTAAACAAAATCAGCGACATTTGCGGGGTATTCCCCGCACGAGACGACACCGCGCCCCTCACGGACATTGACCTTGCGACAAGTGAATTCTCCGATATGCCGGAAATCTGACGTATGCTTGAGGAATAGTGTCAAAACATTGTTTGACGTAACTTGAAACGACGTAAATCGAAACGACGTAAGTCGAGGACCGCCTGTACATCATTTAATTAAACAGAAATAATACTCTATTGGTTATCATTTATTAGAAAGAGCCAAAGGAGACAAACAATGATTTTTTTAATATGTGACAATGATTCCTTGTTAATATCTTGTATGACTTCCTCGTTTATTGGGTAACACATTATATCTTTGAAGGCTTACTCAATTAAATTGCGGACGTTATATTGAATTCGCCTCTGCGAATTCATAAGCCACAATTGCAATACTTGTTTTCTAGTCAGACCATAATGCATTTTATTGCATGATAGTAAATATTAAACCGGGAGTTTTTCTTAAAAAACAGTAAATAGATATTTGTGACCGTTTATACTGCCTGTTTTTCTTCAAATTTTCGTAATTTTTATTCGATCAACTTATAACGTCTTAGTGTTCTTCTGTCGATTTCATATTTAATATATGTTTTTCTCAAAGATAAAATCACTGGTTGAAAGTGAACTGGGGTTTGTTGAAGCTGCAGCAATATCTACCACAATTTTTTCATGTCCGGACCACAAGGACGACAAAAAAAG